CTAAATCCTGACTTTGCTCAAAGTCTGCTGGATCGTGAAGGGTTGGACATCAAATGAAAAACCCAATCCCATAAACTCTCATTAGAACAGGTTCACCACCTCCCGAAAAATGTGTTGCTGTTCATCCAGCATTGTGCTCGGCGCCAATTACAGGATGAGTCTAAGGGACAATGAAGAAGACAATGAGGAAATGTTCAGTTTTAGAGGTGGGAGGAAAACCCCAGACAAATATTCCAGGAGAAACGTACAGAATCAGGTAGGGACTGAAAACCAAATCCACAAGTTGGCCTTAACGGGACTCGAACTTGGGTTGCAGGGTGACAGGCGAGGAAAGAACCCCAACGCTAAGCTGACTCCCTTACATGTGGATGGGGGGATATATTATTTTGATAAGCTTCAAAACTGAGATTTGACTAACGATTAAACCGCGTAAAAAATGACTTATGTGTCTAAATAAAGCCCACCAGATAGGAGAGCTTTCTGCAAAGCAAAGAGGTCACTCAGAAGTAGCTCATACGCACGGTGACTGCAGTCAATTTTTGCTGAGTTCTGTGCCTCTCCAGGTCATTTCAAAAACACTCAAACAGGACAGATATTTGCCTCAGGGCCTTGCTGAGGTAGAAAGCGTTGACTGCAGCTACATGTAAGTGCTGAGCAAAGGACTACAAATGACTTTTTGCTCAGCAGTTAGCTCTTGTGGGCGGCAGGCTTAAGGTCTCCTTTGGAAGAATGCAGGCAAAGTCCCAGACTGAGAGGTTCTGCATATGAACACAAAGAACCTGCCAAGTCTGCTCAGGAAATACCATGTACACAGATCTATCTGCATGCAGTCACAGTACCTGTAATACAGGTGGATTCCACCTGCAAAAAGGTTGTGCACCATTTCCTTCCCTTTGAACAGAGTGAGTGCATTTATGAAAATGTGGAATTCCCCCCCCCCACTTTATTAAATGATCTATTCAGAAATGCTATCAGATAATTAAAACAGTGGAAATTCTATTTGCTTTCCTGGTTAGATAAACTGCTTTTTTTTCAGAGTTCGACACACACCTTCAAGCAACAAAAGAAATCAGTCAAGTGTATGGCACCTATGTGTTTACCACAACTAACAGAGAGGAAGAAAATACAATGAAGAGATTATTGATTCCGTCACATCCTTCAAAATCTCCTGCAAGGTTTAAGAAGATTGTGCAGGATTTAGGATGAAACTTGAAAGGGACCAGCCACTATTACTCGAGGACCCTCAAGCGATCCAGCACAAAGTAAGGTTCCACTAGTTTCGAGCACTGGGAAGGATTTGGCAAGATTCTGGCGGGCTTCTAAACAAGATGCCCAGGGACTTGTCAGGGCTGAAGACTAAATTCCACAAGAGAAAAAAAAAGACGAAAAGAAATGGTTATTTAATGTACACAGGCTTCAAGGTGAATGACTGGATTGAGTAATGAAGTTACGGCCAAAAAAGAAACCCACACACATGAACTCGAGCGCTTACAGGTCTGGCAAAGTGCTGCCAATTTCATTAGTGAGTCAGGTGACTCAGATTTTTGTTATCATCCACAGCGGTGTCACATGCCTCGCTGATGTACCATTGTGCTGGTACTTTACACGAACTCTTTTACCAGGGAACAATGGTATTGATACAATGATCATGTGGCCTGCCAATATCACAGATGCTTGGCGTGTTGTAATCAACCTTGTACTTGGGCCAAGGTGACGGATGCTTATTTCATCATGCCAACACTGCGTGCGCGACCATTTCACCCGTGGTGGAACAAGTGAGTCACAAGTGACATAAAGGAGAGAGTTGTAATCTGGACAGCCGATGCCATCTTTTAGGGAAAAAGGACACATCTTGACATCTTTAAATAATGTCATTGTATAAGCAAAGATGGAGTACACACTATCTAAGAACTGAAGAGTTGGGTCTACAAAAATGGCCCCTCCTTGGCATGCACATGTATACATGAACACCTGTACAGCCTGATGATCAAATGGTTCAGATGTCTGCACTTGTAAGTAGGAGGTCTCAGGTTTCAGTCCCATTCAACAAAGCTTGTGAAGGTTTCCCACATGCTGAAAAAGAAAATGACCTGCACTAGTTGAAGGGTAACCAGATGTTCCCATTCATTCATGCGCATACTGTACCTTCATGATTTAAGAAAACAAAAAAAAAACAAACTGTGAAAACAGAATTTTCTCCTCACTTTGGGCTTTCTGTTGGCTTGTTACTCCCATCTGACCAAACTTCTGGGGTTTTGTGGGTATTCCCATTTTTATACACTCTTTGGAATGTTGATAGTCTGAGTGTGCAGCACCACATCAAACTGCTTTCATACTGTGATGCCGTAGTTTTGGTTACTTCAGTGGGCAGAACCCAGCAGGAATAGGGTGAATGCTGGGGTCGACTCACCTCAATGCCTGAACACAAAGTTCTGTCAACTTTGCCCAGAGTGACTCCTACTGGACATTAATCCAAGCGCAGTAGCATGCAGATGATATCAGTCTTTCAAAGTGCACTTTGCAATCTTCAATGTCAACAACCGGGACTTAAAATGGGCTGGGCTATAATTAAATACGCCTGCCCAATTTATGCAATTTCAATCCTCACATCGGATTCTATAAAAAGTAAGCTTGGGTCTTTTTTTAACTGTTTTGTTTGAATATTGCTTATGTAACAATTCACAACAAATGCCCTGGTTGGTATCACGTGTACATTTAGCGGTCTGTTGTTCCATGTAAAAAATTCACATCAGGTTTTCCTTCAAGTAAATGTCACATATTAAACTCCTTTGAAACACATAAACGGACCTTTTCATAAAACGGACCTTTCACGTGTGGTTTTGAAAGTAAACTGAGAAAAGATACATGTCTATTCATGTATCCTCCAAAAACCCTCAAAAGACAAATGTTACACTATCGGTGTCAGCGGGTATACACAATTCCTCAGACTCTCACCGTGCTCGGCTGGGCAAAAATAGAGAGAGAATACAGAAACGAACAAATCTGTACTTCCTTTCCTTTAGGGGAATTCCATGCATCAGCATACATCAATTTCTGAATACATCCTACTGGTATATATACATGAGTAATAAGTATACAAGTATTGGATGTGTGTTTGCTTCACATTTGCTCCATAATCAACATAGCAGGGACTCTAAATTTCAACCGTGCTTTATCGCTGTCCAGACGCCAGTACGGAAATTGAAAATTTAATTTCACACACACACACAAAATTCTTCAGTATGCCGCTGTCTCCAGAGAACAAAAATCCATAGCATTTGTGCTATTCATCGCTGGGTTCATTGAAGTGTCAGCCAGCGCCATATATGGCAGGTCCCATTGACAGCGGCATGCATGCAAGGCGACTAGCTCCCGCTCTCCCTGTTAACGTTAGTCACTGGGACAGGCGGGAGATGGCATGCCGATGTGCACTACTAGTGTGCACGCAACTCCGACGAATACAGAGTGAGACAGACGCTGTACCATTACGTCGGCAGCTGCATCAAGTCCACACATGAGCAGCTGCGAACAGGAGTCTTGTTTGTGTATTGGCTACGCATTTTACTATGCACAACATAATTGGGACTTTTGACAATGCCGTTCCCCAGATCTCGTCTGGGAATCGGAACTACCGGGTGACAGAAAACAAAATTTCACATTTTCAAACCAGGAGAGAACGATGCAATGCAATAAATGTTGCCATGCTGGGAAGGAAGTTGTTATGTTTTCTTCCCTGTTCTAACATGTACTTAAATTCCACTCTGCATAAAAAAAAGAAAAACTACAGACAAAACAAAACCAAAAAATGATAATGTCCTGTCCCTTAAACAGACATGACTGTTTCTACACATGCCAAGTCAAACTACAAATAAAAGTATATCCGCATGTTCTCTGCGAAAAACAGTCCACGAAAAACTTCTAGCCAGTTTTAGTCAATAGCTGCCTAAGACCCTCTTACTGTCTTGTAGGTATGCTTCACTGCTGAGCCTGGATTCATCCAGAATATTTTTAACCATCAAATAATAACCAGCTCTTATTACGATGCCCGAGACCTACTGGCTCTCACAGCAAGCACATCGAGTAATGGGCTCCATTCACAGACAAATTGAGGAAAGAAAAAAAAAGTACTAGTAAAAAAAGGAAATTTAAGGAAGAGTCACGGAACCAGGATACAGTAATTATTGCACAAGTCTCTCCGTTAGAGGATATTGCTACCTGAATCTTCTTATTTTAGAACAGGACTAGTCTGATGGTCTGGGAATGAGTCAGTATAGAAACCACAACCATTTCAAGCATTTGGCCTATTTTGGTGGTAAGAACTCACCCCTCACGCTAAGGGGCCACTGTGTCTCTAGAACACAGCCAACTTCAGCAAAACATGCCCTACTTGTAAACAAGTGGAACACTGAACTGATAACCCAGAAGACAGAACAGGAGGTCGCAAGGAGGAGAGATTTCTGTAGCAAATGTCAAAGCTTTTTCTTTGGTGGGGGGGGACCCACAAAAGAATCTTTGAGGATTGTCTGGCATTTCTTAATGTCACAAATAATATCAAACCCAGGAAGTTTGGAATTTTAAAATGTTAAAGTCAACAGAGTTGCCAAATACTGCCTGAGATGTTTTAACCTACTTACAGACCACGCTAATTAATGATGACTTCAATTAGATAGACGGGCAAAGCAGCAGTCAGTGAGGAATGGAAGAATGCCAAGCTGCCGAAAACTTTGCTCCCATTTTCACAGCACTGACAGAAGAGGAGGCAAAAATGGTGCCAGCCTGACTGAAAAAAAATGTGTAACTCCCCCGGGTTTCCAAATTTGAAAAGTGCGCATATTTGATTGTAGTAAAGAAATGAAACAACTCCACGAAAGAGAAGGAACTTACCTTATCAAGTCTCCAGGTCTGGTCACTGTCCATCACGGGTCATGCTCCCTTTTCCCCCAACTCAAGCATGTCTGTAGAAAAACCGAATAAAGAAACAAGCCAAAATTTTTAAAATAGAGCATACTTTCCTCTAAAGTGTTTTTTCCCCTCATTATTTCCAAATTTCAGCTTTACTAACTTCCTTTCGGACCCTACAGAGTGGCCTTTTTCCGGCTATCCCAGAAAAAAATAGTTTTCTGTCTTAATCCTTGACTCATTCTGCGTAGTGTGTGCCTATATTTGTTCCTGATTTTAAAACTTAAATTAACATCAACCTCAAAGAAGGTGAAGGTAGTTAGAATCTACTTTAAACCCTATCCCTTCAAACTGGAAGTCCATCAAAATCCAACAATTTAACCGATTCAGAAACTGTCAAGTTTTCTGCATGTTTGCCAGTTTCCAAAAATTACGCGTGGTGTTCTTATGGTCAATCTTTTGTTAAGCCTTAAGGGCAAAAAATGTAGTGCTTTGGTTCTGGTTGGTATGCAATGTTTCCTAGCAGGCCACGAGATTTGGGGACGCGATGAAAGTGATGACGTTGGTTCTGAAAGTTCTCAGCAAAGCTTAGGGGGCAGCTCTGAAGATCTGCAACACCCTGAACAGGGCACCAGTTTACCAGGAATCAGTGATAACACTTGTATTCCAACAATTTCTTGTAATCCCTTAGAGATTCCTGACAAGTCAGGCACTTTCACAACCAGGCAGAGTTTTTTTTTATTCAGGGAGACTAGGGGTGAAACACTTAAGGCCAATTAGCTTCCAGCCACTCCAGGGGGCCTTGATTTATGTCTGGACAGGATTCCCCAGACTGGGTCACTTCAGGACATTTAACAGCCACATCCTTGGTTGCATACACAGGCTACCTTCCCTTGTTTTGGACACGTACACAAAACAAACAGAACAAAGCCAAAGTCACCTTGACGTAAAAATCCAGAGAATTAACCGAAGAGCCGCACTGTAGCATTTCAAATCAAGACAAATGTAATGTTTTTAAGTAAACCTAGTACACGTAATGCTTTTCGAGGAAAACATGATGGTTTATTTACGTTTTATGTAAATTGACAAAATGACACCAACTGTTAAGTCATACAACATGCACTTATACAGGGCCCATAAAGTGCAATTTCTGTCTACTCAACCTCTGGAACACTATGGAACGCAAGGTCAACTGGCAACTGAAGTTGTTGTTATGGTTCTTCTCAATGTTCGAAATTTAAAACCAAAACACCAGCGTGGCATGGTCAGAGGGAGGGACTTCTTCCACATACACGCACTTCACTTGGAATGTTGGCAAGGAGTCAAGCTTAATATCTTGGACAATGTGGGGAACTGCCAAAGGGACCCTGCACTGTTGCCAACCTGTGCCTGGTCCGAATTCCGCAGAATTCTCTATTCTATGCAAATAATCAGCAAGGACTTGGTTTGGTTGTTTCACTCAGTACTGGGTGATACAGCAACAATGATGGGAAGGAAGCTCTCTCGAAAACAGAGGGGGGGGCCTTTTTTCTTGAAAGGAGCACATAATGCCAACAGCCCCAAAAAGCTACGTATCACGTATGATCCATTTTGTCTCTGATAATTTATAAGCCTAGGTGGCAAGTTCTCTCAGTTGTCGTTTTGTGGTTCAAAGAAACAACTGAGGAGCAAGAGGTTGGTGCAAACTTGGGTCCACTTGTTTCTGACTTGGAACCTTTTAACTTATTTAATCAATTACATGTAGGCTCATTCCACTACAGTCCTGCAACTGGGAAATCAATGGCGAGGGGAAATTTCAAACCCATACCAGACTTCGCATAGTATTTTCCAGTCTGCAGTGTGTATATACCAAAGGGATGGGAGGGTCTAAAGATTCAGCATTTGGTGCCCAAAAAATGAGGACACCAGCTGATCCAAGGAAAGGTTGCATGACTGAATCTGTAACAATACAACACAGCACGTAGCAACACGTGAGGGAAAAATGAAGGCTATAGGAGAAGCACACACTGACTCAGGGGCGCTTGGGTTTCTGGGGACCAAGACTCATTTCCTGAAGTCTTAATTACATGTTTCACCCAATTCTTAAAATACCCCAAAGGTTCATCTTTGAAATTTACAGCCTAACTCTACAAAATAAATGGCCCCTGTGGGCAGAGGGTCTGTACACTGATATGAAACCAAGCGCACTACCCCAGGACATGCTAAACTGGTACAAGTACATGTACTTCAGTCAAACCTTTAAGGTCACAAGAATTATGTAAGTTTGCCAGGGTTTGGGGGGGGTAGGGAGAGAAGGCTGGATTTGAGGTCAGTGCTTGTGCTGGTGATGAAGGGGATATGTGTCATTCTCTGGGGGTCTGTCTATTCACCAGGGGTTGTTACTAAGTATAGAATGCATTGGGAGGAACACTGGCCATATATGTGCATGAAGGTTGACTTGAAGGGTCACAGACAGGGGAAGTCTTCCTAGTCAGAGAGGCTAAGGATTCGATGCAATGGGTAACAGTCAGAGGAAGACATACACCCTTCTTGTCTGGGGATTTATTGGTCGTAAGTACTTAACTACATGACTAGTTTCTGAACTTCATATTCCTTTCAAGACATCCTTCACAGCCTTTTATTACTGCACATCCTTTTCTGCTGTTTTGTTTTGTTCCTTGCTTAGTTTTTTTTCCCGGATGTGATGTGATTCTTTGGGGGATACGAGAAAAGATGCCAGTATTGTCCAGGACATTGTACGTACAGCTCTGAATTGTATCAAGTGGGGAAAACCATTAATTATATGGCAAAGTCAACACACAATGCCAACTGTCAGGGAAGAGGGAAATAAACTATGTTTTCCCTCTGACTTTCAACTGGTTGTGTAGTCATAAAAAAAAAGTAATCATTATGGGGAATTCAACCTGCCAACAATAATCAACACACATAACAAGACATGCAATAACACAGTTGGGTTATTCCAAGGTATCCAAAGCCTGTCACGTTGCAATAAACAACCTACGGTACGCACCGATGAAATTGAAGATGCCGTGCAAGGCGTGCATGCAAGTGCTTTGCTGAAGTGAAAAACACTTCCAACTGCTGGACTATAATGTACGTGTATTATTTCAGTATACTTTTCCCGTATTTCAACTTCTCTAACAGTCATCTCCATTTCAATTTTGATTGGGTTAAAAAAAAGTACAGACAGTTGATTTGGTGGTCATTTGGACCACAGACACCCCTAGGTGTTGCTTTGTGCGCACTATCGACTGGAATTATCCTCAACTGATAAACTGCCACTTTGATGCGTGCATGCCCATATATATTAATACTACTCAATACCCGTTATTCCTGGCATTTCTCCACATTTCTTGCCTGAATACGAGTATCAAATTTCGACCGGTCATCAGTGATGTAAAGAATCACTTGCAGGTCAGCCAGGCTTCTTCGTGGGTGCACTGTGAAATACCTTCACTTATGACGTGCAAATATCATGGTAAGACTGCGTAAGCACATCTGGGCCCAATGGGCATGATCAGATTACAAGTCGTGCTGAAGTCAACACCATTTTCTACACTACTCCAAAAGAGAGAGGGCCTCCAATTGCACCGTTCTCAGACCGGCTTGTAAGCAACATGCTACATGTAAATGTGGCCACCCTGCACTACAATATGACAAGGTTGTTTGGGGAAAACAACATTTTACACTCTTCCTCTTGAGAGGCATGTGACCCAGCAACCTTATGGCATATACAAACACTCTGCCCTGATCTTATTGATTGAAGGACTCAAAATGCCTCTTTGACTTTACTTGTATGTCAAAATTGTAAACAGGGTGTTTTGATTTGGGCAAATCTAGCGGCGTACTGGATCATACTGATGGGCTTGAATTGCCAGGATAAATTCTCCAATGATTGCAAAGTTATGTTCAATGACATGACTTATTTGTTTTGATCTCCTTGGAGCAAGCAGTGCGACGACGCATGCAAATCGCCTACTTAATGGAAAAAAACATCCATCACCATGGCAATCAAATTTAGTTCTCCACAAGTGAACTGAAACAATTACAGATATTAAGGCAAAACAAAGTGTTCTCAGGTTCTTTGTTGAAATAATTTGGTCAAATGTTCCCAATCACTCTCTAAAATGAAGCTAGATGAGTTGCCGTGGAAGGATGTGATGATATCATCAGAAATTGCACAACTGGTTTTTTTTTTTAAGACGGGAAGAGGAATGGTTAAAAAAAAAAACAAGTACATGGCCTGGCCTTGTGAATCAGGCTTGAGTCACATGGCTGATACAAATGTCATCACAGCTCATCCCATGCATCCTCAGCGAACATCCACAAAATGCTGCATGCTGCTCAGCGCTGTGCGATGATTCAGTTCACCTAAAGGTTAAGTGGCTTATCTGCTCGAACTAGGGAGATGCAGGAACACACTCGAGGAGCATATAAAACAGCAACAGAGATCTACATGGATTTTTAACAGGCGAGGTTGAGTGGGTGGCTTGGAGAAAGCTAAGAAAGAGGAGGTGTGGAGCAGGTGATGTGTGGAGGTGGCGTTCGGCATGCGGGCTGGGAACAAGACCTCATTAGGGAGAAGTGGAATTGAGGCGAGGCCAGTCTGGGGAAGAGCAGCACCAGTGTCGGTTGGTAAATTAAGACCCGGGGTGGAGAGGTGTAACGTAGGAGGAGAAAAATGGACGGCTGTGTGGTATGATTAGAAGGACCCGACCGAGTGAGACAACAGAATGCGAGGAATCAAAGGGTCCAATGTGGAATATGAAATGGGGGTGGTGGGCGGAATGGACAGAGAAAAATACTTAATGGGGGCAAAGTCTTCAAGGAAATTACTGCTCCCAAGAGTCCCAAAATAAGAGGTCATTAATTACAGAGGGGTGGTGGGTGTGATGCTGGCGCGTGTAAGTAGGAAGAAGAGCCTGCAACAATATGACAAAACTGAAGAAAAATACACAAGGATGGAGAATGCAGGAGAGTTAGAAAACAACTGGACTGTATCTCTAGTGGGATGGCACTTGATAGCGAGGACAGGAGGCTGAATTACAGTGTACACGTAGACTTCCACAGTGTAGAATTACAATTTCAAGAATGGGGGGGAAAAAGGTGGGAGTAGAGGTACTCAAGGGGTGAAGTGTTTTCGACAGGCTTCGTGGCCTCCGCCTGAAAAACAGGCTAGGGAGAGTGGTGGTGGGTGTGTGGAGGTCAAAGGTCAGGAGATGGCTCTAGCAGAGGATACGAGTCTGGCAGAAATGATGCAGTGGGGTGGAGGGCAATTGAAATGGTAAGGGGAAATGGTGAGGGGAGGCACATTACATACATCTTTGTGATGCGGTTCCAAAAATAGGAGGGGCAGCAGACATGATCACATGTGCAGTGTCAGGGAAGGAAATGATGCTTGAATGGAGGGTTATACTTGTGCATGTACAGGTAGGCCTGTTATGCAATAAGCACAATGAACACGGGTGATTCACAGTAGTGTGCCTCTAAGAGTCTGAAATGCGTTAACCCATCACAATGCGCGAAATCTGTCGACCTAATGCGAGTTTGGACAGGGTCAACAGATTTCGCGCATTGTGATCGATCAACGCATTGCAAACTCTTGGAGGCACACGACTGTGAATCGCCTGTATTAAGCCTCTGTACTCATGTAATTATGACAAGATGCACACTGGTCTGCAATTCTTAACTTTCAAGGTACTAACAGCTGATTAACTACACTGTTCGCATGCTGATGCCAAAGGCGGAATTTTGGACAAGCCGTTAGCTTCACAGTAAAACGGGAAATGAAATTTGAGACGGCAAATTTTGACAGCAAATTCACCTGTACGAGTAAAACACACACCCTGCTGTCCTCACACTGAACGGCAACATTAGCTTGTCCTGAGTGTTTTCTATGACTGTGAGAGTTGGAGTACTACACTATTTCTTGTGGTTTTAAATTAAGAGAGTCTTCTGAATGGATGCCAAAGAGGAACTGAACCGGCAGATCAACAATCGAGGCTGGGGCTGGCAATTTGGAAGGGAAATTCCTGCTGACGTCCTCCATTGTTGGGGGTTCCGTTTGTCAACTGAAGGAAATGGGTTGGTATCATTTATGAATTTACCGATTTCTGCAATACTGTGGGACTTCTCCCTCCGTGGCATCATAAGACTGTGTTTCATTTCCGCTACTGCAATGCGGTTTAGGGTCAAGTCACTTTCCTATATACTCGGGAGGGGCTGAAACAAAGGGTTTTATTATCTTTAGTTCAGTCAGTTGATGTACACGAAGGCCTATCTGATTACATGTATATCTTATCAACAAGAATTTCCTACACACATTTGTTATTTTCTTTTTTTCTAGAAGGAAAGGGGTCTATTTTTAAGGGTTATCACTGTCTGGACATTTCTTCTCATCCTTAAAAAATGGAAGAAAAAAAAAAGAAATACGGGGGGGAAAAAAATCTAAAATTTTTTTTGACGTTGACTCCCCGGATGATTCTGATGGTACCATCTTGGTGGGGTTAAGGTTATGAAAGGAAATCA